ATACACCTAAATAAAACTTTGTTGTTCAGGAGACGACTGAAACACAACCTGTGGTAAGAAGCTCCTCCACTGTTGGAACCATGTTCAGTAAAATAAAGCTTTAACATCTGAACGCTTGTAAGGAAAACAGGCTAAATTTGGGGAGCAGGGATTAAAGTGAAGTGTAAAGTGAAGACAGAGACCGAGGTTGGCAGCCGCTGCAGATTAGAGCAGGTTTTCCTCTGAACGCCCTCGGTGCTGACAGGAGGATAAACACTGACGGATCACCTTTCAGGTTCATGCCTTGTCGTGGTGTTTCCTTTCAGCGCGCCACTATCACCAGGCCGTATATCACAGGTTTGCCACCGCAGCACTAGTCTAAGATGATGATAAACTGATACCAAAAAAAAAACAAACCACTACTCCTGAAGCACCACCCAGGACACAAGAATAGAGTAGAGGTGTACTAATAAAAGAACTTCCCACATTTTCACCTTATCTAACAATAAAAGCATATTAAAATAATCTAAAACAATTAAAACATCAACTAGAAAGCGTGCAAATTGGTAAAACACATCAAAAATCTCCCAAAAACATCAAAGAACTATGAACATCTGACATTTTACTACTAACAGATTAAATCTAACACCTTCATAATAAATCAGTCAATCATCAAATATTCAGCAAAGATATGAACCGTTTCCCTCCATCTTCCACTAACAAAATCTGATTTCAACAAACAAAACATAAACTCCTGACAACCGTAACGGCGACACAAAACATTTACAACTGCTGTCATGCAAAGAATGTTCATGCAAACCACTAAAAATATTCTCTATCTACTGAACACAGAGAAAAGAGTTCTTACGTTAACAGAGCAGAGTTGTCAGCTTGTTAGAGACGCAGACTGAGTCCCAGCCAGACCAAGTGTTAAGAAGGTATATATTGCAATCTGTGATAGCCCTCTAAATCCTCCACTTTCTCTTTATGGAAGTGGATTACTGGTCAAACCAATGAGCTGGCAAGGTCATGAAATACAGTACAGTGTCATCTGCCCCCTTTCCTCTGCTCGCCTCATTATAAATAACCCGCCCTTTAAGATTGTTATCTGTATTATCATGTGCTGTCGAGCTTCTGACGGACAGAACGCAGGAAAGTGATTAAACCACAGAGGCATTTTCTAATCAACACGTCATATATTCTTACTTTGATTAAATTCATTGTAATCAGCTGGTTATACAGATGTTTTTAGTCTTTCCTTCAATAATAACTGTTTTAACAGAGTTAAAAAAAAAAAAAAGTATGATTCAGACACCAAATGTATTATTTACATGTGCATGTCACATTACATGTAGTGTTATATATAGATAGAGACATACAGTAGGTAAAGACTGACATAATGCAGGATGAAATCTGAGATACAGCAGAGACTAGTCTAACATGAACTAGAGCTGAAATTAATTGATTCATCAATGAGTCACTTTACAGCAAATTAATCTGGAAATATTCCATATTGTAGTTCATCAAACTGTTTGATACCGTCAGGATTAAATTAGTTTTATTCTGAGATTTTTAATTTCTTTTCACCTCATTTATTCAGTCTGACATCTTTCTGTTGGATGGTAATTACCTCCACCAAGGAGGTTTTTGGTTCAGTTTGTTTGTCAGCAGGATTACACAAACAAACAAACAAACAAACAAACAAAAAAACCTACTGGCCTAAGGAGGAGGCCATTTAATTTTGGAGCGGATCTGCATTACAGGAATAATACACAAATTATTTTTCACTTTCGTTTACTCAAAATAGTGGGCATTTGGCCTTAGCTGAATAAATGCTATAAATCTAAAAATCCTGCGGATGGTACTTACGTTAACTCATGACTAATGTAATAGTCATGAGCACCAGTAATGCTCTGGGGTAGCCTTCATTTACTCAAGCAGTCAGAGCACTAGGGAACAGTGGTTTCATGGGACAACCGGTACAACCGTAACACCGCAACAATTGTAAGGACGTTCTCATGTATACCTACGAAATGAGTAATGCACTAGAATTTGTATGTAACCCACATAATTGTGAGCCAGTAGCCTAATTCAGATATAACCCATGTAATCACGAGCCTGTAATTGGATATGACCCACGTAATCGTGAGCCAGTTTTTGGACGTAAGCAACGTAATAATGAGCCAGTAATTCGTATACAACTCACGTAATCATGAAGGCTGCGATTACATGACCAATGTGTTAGTAATAATAGAAGGAAGTAGAATTAAAAGAAGAAGTCTGCGAAAGGAGGCAGGTTGGGGTGATAGATGGGTCAAACAAACACGTTCTTCCTCCAGGAGACTGATGCTTGTGTGGGGTCATCCCTATGTTTCCCGGGTTCTATGTTCCCCACTTAACCCTGCAAAAAAGGTTCTATGTTTCCTGCTCAACATAGAACCTTTTTTGTGTAAGCGGGGAACATAGAACCCGGGAAACATAGAACCCTGGAAACATAGATACGCTCCTGTTTGTGTCACGTGTAAAACCAATTGTACTTTGTTTCTTTAATGTACGTCCTCGTGTCGCCACGTTATGTTAAGTACGGAACTTTTTGTTAAGTGTATAACCTGACAACACCGAACTATACGCTTTTCCTTAGACATAACCTACATAACTTTACTTTTCTAAACCAAACCTACATAACTTTATGTTCCAGTATCTAACCTACTTAACTTGACATTCAGTACGTCACTTTACATTAAGTACAAACTTGTAGATTTTAGTAATGGAGCAACTCTTTTCTTTATAATATTTGTATTACTAATAAAAAAATATATACTACTAATAAAAGTTGAACTCACAGTTGCTGTTGTTGTTGCAGCCCAACGGCTCTGAAAGAGACTCGTCTGAATACCTGAAATATAAAAAGTAACGTGTAAGACAGAACAGATAACTTCTCCTTGATGTAAAATCAATTATGTGAGTCTATATCAAAAACGTGAATCTATAAGGTGAAAAAACATAAATGTAACACTTGATTTTAACCCTCCCTTTTTACATTGATAAGCAAAACATTAAAATCAATCAAAGCAACATATAAAACTATAAATTATTTAAAACAGATTTCACTTACCTCAGATCTGTTTCTCTTTTTGTGATTCAGTTGGTACGTTTGACGCTAAACCTCACCAGCAGAAAGATAAAAATACTTAACAGATTTAATTTAAGGGGCCAAATGATTAAGTGTAAAATTATTAGGGTCTCTCCGTCTCTTTTAACGATGTGTTGAAGATGACACCTCTTGCTGGGAGTTTTATGCTTCAGTCAATCCGTCCGAACCCATTAGAGACTTTACACATCATAAAAAGCAACAACCACGAAACTTCAGCTCAGTGTTTGATAATGTGTTCACTGCTTTTAACACACAGTGAAAAGACACGGTTATCATTAACGTCCATCCGCCTGTTGTATCGACATTCAGCATCAACACTCACAGATAAATTGGAAACAAGTTATTAGGTCTTGAAATGCATTTAATTTAGAAAAAATAATTAGCTTAACATTTTTAATCACTATTGTTATATTTTGAAATTTTAAAACACTGCACATATTTTTCTTTAACAAGCTGAATTCACAAAATGCAGTTTACATTTGTGCCACCCGAGGGCAGCATGTTGAAGATCAACCCAGTCGCTGAGATAAATGTTGGCATTGCACGTTTCTGTGAACTACAAATTTCTTAAACTTAACATTTCAACGACGCATGATTAGGTTTAGACCACTGACCATTAAAAGTAATGGAAGTAGCCACCGTGACGTCACCCATTGGTTTGTGGACTGCCGTTTTGAAGCCTCGAGGTTGGCATTTTGGCCATTGCCATCTTGGATTTTTGCAACCAGACATGCAAATATTTGGACGAGAGGGCGGGGCTGTGGAGGAGTTAGGGGGAGCCAGGGGGACCCCGCGAATGACGTTACGTCATCAACGTAAAATTATGGGATTAACATAGAAGTACCATGGTTAAGTTTAGGAAAAGAAACAAGGTTCCAAACACCGGTCTCCTGGGGAAAGTCCCATGTTTTGTGACCTATTCACTGCCTCAACCTGCCTTATTATTATGCTACTGTTGAAATTCAACTAAAAGCCCAGTCCCAATTAAATGCCCATTATCTTTCACTAGCCCAGCGTGGCTACACATTTTGACAACTAAACGGTTTTATACATTCTTCGGATGTATAAAACCAGGTTGTTGGCTACCTCAAATTATGTATCTGTTCCTCGATGACCCTGTAAGTTATTCATATTGCGTTAGTCTGTAAGGGTCCTCAGATCAAAGGAATCAAAAGGCTTTTTCATACAAATTAATCCAAGTTGTGAGAATTGTTTTAACAGTATAAAACAGTGTTGTGTCTGTGCCGTAACTCACTCTCTCCCATGAAGCCTAATTTTTATACAAGTAATATTTATACTGGTTTAAATAAATAATTCGATTGTATTTCCTGATCTTTGCTGAGCAACAGTTTTGTATGAAATGAATTAAGGCCTGTCCCAAATATAGGCCTGCTGATTTCAGTAATTTAAGCAAATAATAGCCCGGGCTATTCATTGTTTCCTTGATTTACTCCCGTCAGCCCACTGGTCATGTGATTGCAGCCTTCCAGAAAACTTGAGCTATGCACGAATTATTTGCTTATCATTACTTGAGATATATACAAATTTTGGTGAATTACTTTTCATAGGGAAACATACGAACAGTGCCTGAGAACAGCCTGACTAAAGAACAGCCCATTTTGTCATTTTATTGTTTTTAACAGTGGTCTGCAGTTTGGCAGGCGTCTCGCCAAGATGTCATGCCAACAACCACCCCCTCCACCTCCCAGTGACAAATCAACTCACGTACAATGTCACTTAAGAAATAATATATGTATGAAAATACAAATGTGTCTGTGGTTTGCAGAAACATACAATACCAACATTTTCTTCTAGTGACTGGGCTGTAACGATACCCCCTTAAAAAATCAATTGGTAGTGTATCAAACACAATTTAGTTTTGTTTATTTTCTCAAAAGTAATCATCATGACATTGAACAGTTTTGTGTTATTATGCTAATGAACCTCCAGTGTTACCTGACAGTCCCCAAATGATACATCTGTCAGCTGAGCTCTGGGCCTCCATTTTAGCTTCTAGCTAACGGTAGTTTCACAGCCCAAAAACACTGCTGGAAGTCATTGACCCATTTTCAATAAATTTCAAATATTGATGTAATACTTCAAATTTAACAGGCAAATTCCAAGTACACTTAATTATCTGTTAGCATTAGCTGCTGCCAATGTGCTCAGCTGCTTCCTGTTAGCCCCTGCTGTCATTCAGGCCTTCATAAAATTCATAACAAAGGTAATAATAATAAAAATATGAACTCAGTGGATGGTAAGCAGTCTTCTCAGTAAGCAGTAATACATTACTTTGTAATGCCTTAAAGTAATTGAATTACTTTTTCAGCAACAAATACCCAAGTAAGCATCACAAAACGTCTCTTTCACTCCATTTATTCAGTCGCAGTTTCTGCAGCTCAAAAAGTGGTTCAGAAAATTAATTTGTGTTATCTAAATTAATCTGATCGGATTAAACCAATCGGTGAAAAGCAGGGACTAAAAGTACTGCAGCTTTGTTGACAGCAGATTGATTTATGCCTCAGCCTCAAACATCTTCTTCCTCCCGTCCATGCCGGCTTTGTCTTCAATGTTTTTACGCCAGTCGCCGACGTCTCGCAGCTCCTTCTCCTGAAACACCAGAGACGACCAAACGTCACAGCGGGACCAGGATGTTTCACCAAACTTCATCGTTAAATCAGAAGGTTCAGATCTGAATACTGGTGATCCTACTTTCCTTTGCATTGACAACCTGCCTGACACCAGCCTTTATAATGGTAATCATAAAGAGTCAGTTAAGCCTACTTCACATTACACGATTTTTCACCGCAATTTTGATGTCGCAGAGGATCTTGAGAGCCACCATGGGTCGGAGGTTGCCAGGTCCACTTATTAGCCGCCACTTTGGGCTTGTTTCTAAAGTGGAGTTGCTTATCTGGGCTTGCTCTCTAAACATCACCTTTTTCTCTATAAGGTTTTTAAATGCATGATAGTCGCTTCGTTTGGGCTTGTTTCCAAAGCCGGCAAGCAACAACAACAATGGCGGCGTCCACAGGATCACGGGGAGCGCGTTGTGTTTGGACCCAGGCCCTGGAGGCAGATCTGATTCAACACTGGGAAGAATATCCATGCCTTAATGATGTGTCGTCTCCAAGTTTGGTGACGTCACCGTGTTATCTGGGGCTCTGTCGGCGAGGGCTCGGTGGAGAAATCTTGTGGACACACAGGTCGCAACACAGTTGGCGAGATTCCCGCTGACAGAAACACACGTTGCCAGGTATGAACATTCAAAAGATTACGACAGTCTCCGCGACGCAAAATCAGGGTGGAAATCGTGTAATGTGAACTAGGCTTTAGGGTTAGCTTTAATTCTTTTTCTTACTTCTTTCTAAATGGATTTACTATACTATACATGAACTGATTGTGTTTGTTGTGAAAGACAAAGGAGTGACCACACAAATAACACTATAAAGATAAAGGAGGACTTTCTCGGTGGCAACCTTAACCCTTTGAAACCTGGAGTGTTATCCCTTTTTGTGTGCTGCTTTCAGACGCCTTTTGCAAGTATTTAGACCTTTGAACCCTGAGCAGGTTGGTGCCATTTCATTCAACAACATGGGGAAACAAGGTCATGAGCAACTTGGTAAGAAAAGCTAGGGAAAAACTATATTTAGAAATTATTATGTTACATAAATATTATATTTTTTAAGCAGTCTTTCAAAGTGACTTCCTTGTTTGTCTTCAGCTTTCTTTCTTTCTTTCTTTCTTTCTTTCTTTTTTTACTAATTTTCTTCTCAACTTATTAAATCTACCATCTGCTTCTGTAAAAAAAAAGGCGTGTCCCTTACAAACAGGTTTATAAAAAGAGGCCCCCTCCTCACCTCCTCTTTGACCTCCTTCTTGACCTGCTTCAGGTTGGCCCTCAGGTCCAGGTTGACTGTGTGTTTGGAGCCCAGCAGAGCCTTCAGCATGGCGTCAGCAGACATACGAACTTTCCTCAGGACAGGCTTCTTGAATTTGCCCATCAGGTCCTGAACTTTGATCTTCAAGTCGTCAATCTGGAAAGTGGAGACGGTACAGATACCAGGACGGATGAAAATCAGGTCCAGACAGGCACAAACAGCTCCAGCGTGCTACTGATGATATTCACAACCTAGTACGGTCTAGCAAAGAATTAAAACCCTGAACACCATCAGCCGTCTTTAGACCATGATCCTGTTTTTAGATCCCAAATGACCTGGTCATTTTGGCTTCCAGTGGTATGAAGGGAGCCACAGGATTTAATTACACTGAAAATGAGTTCTTAAAAATGGAACTAAAGATGTTAAGTTTGTCCTGAGTGTGGGAGCAGAGGAACGTAATGGGGTCAATAAAATCTAAAGGGCTCACGCTCTGGGCTGCAGGAATGTATTTTAAATCATTGTATACACATTCCCCCAAAATCTAGTGTGACGTACTCCCTAACCTTTTACAATAAAGTTATGTGACACTGTTTGGAGGCACAGCGTGAGTGTGGAGGCTCTGCAGGGGTTTTATAATTAAATAATAATAATCTACCTCCTTGTTGGTTTTAGTGACTTTCATATCCAAGTCGTATCGTTCCTCGTCGATCTTGTCGATCTTGTGGTGAATCTCTCTGCACAGCTCCTGGGCACAAACACCAGCAAACTGTCACAACACCAGACATGATGTAGACCAAAAACATTTTCTTCAATAAAGGGTTTCATCTAATACATTTAAAAATATAATCACACTATTTTCAATATTATGTTGTTCTAGTAACAGCAGTGGATTTGAAGTACTGTATGGGAACCGTGTGAAACAGTGGATTTTATGCAACATGTTAACAATACAAGACTTGTTAGGAAATAAAGAGATTCTGTCCACTGAAACAGTGCAGGGTTTTTAATTTGAAACTAGAGATGCACAATAATATTAGCACGTCACTGATATCAGCCGATATTGGCTTTAAAGTGAACTATCGGAATCGGCCAACATTCCTTGTCTTATTTTACACAATGAATAAATATTACATACACCAGACAGTATTGTGTTTCATTGTCTCCGTCTGCTGCTGCTGGGCCGTCCTGAGAAAACACTTCAATTTTTGGTTTGTTTCTTTAGGTGTGTGCGACCTTCTGCTGGGCTTTTCTGGACATTAATGTCATATGCACTTTTTGCACTTTCTAAAAATACTTCTATGTCAGTATTAAGTTGCTCATAATGATAGCTCATTGTTACTTATAACTGTGTTATTATGACAAAGACAAATAAAGAATTGATTGATTGAAAAGCACATGGTTAGGTTTAGAGAAAAAAACATCATGGTTTGTCTTAAAATAAATGTTTGTTACTAACATAATGTACCGTCATGTGACATATGTCAGTAGCATAGCATGCACCCTCATGCCTGCTCTTTGCAGACTTTCTCACTCAGAATGTCAAAAAACCTCTGCCTGCTGCATTTCATACCGCTGCTAAAAGGTGCCTATGTGTGTCGGTATCTGACGCAAAGGGGCCTCTTGAGGAGTTCGGATTGAGACTGGGTTGGAAATAAAGGCCTGTCTCTAATACACGCCTGCTTCAAATAAAGGCCTGGTACCCTCTGCAGGTAATTTAAAGCCCTGGACAGCATTTGAGAACTGACGTTAAATCTGATCAGTGATCGCGCTCATTGATTCTGTCTTTACTGACATGAACTACTAGAAAGAGTTAAATCACACATTTACATTGAATTCAGGCGGTTTCCATTGACTTTAAGTGCATGTTTTGTCATATTTTGTAAGAAGCTGAAAACACTGTCACTGCCTGTTCTATGGAGAAATGAATACAGTTAACACAATATAAACCCTGTATCATGCATCATACCAAACTCTGAGCCATACCTGCAGCTCCTGCATGGTCCTGGGCATCCTCACAGGAGGACAGTTCTCAGCCATGTACCTCGCCCTCTCCACCTCTCGCTCCTTCTCCTCCTCCTCCAGTAAACCTTTGGCGATGGACAGCATCAAACTCTGCCAGACGTCAGAACAGCAGATATTAATGTAGAGTTTTATGTTCTTGTGACTAAAAAGATTTTTGCCAGTTTCTGTGGACACTGTTCGTCAATATCTCACAAAAAATGACCACTTTTATTTTATAGCTCAGTTTGGCTTTGTTCTATACAACACTGTAAAAGATGTAAGGGAATGTTTTACCTTCAGATGATGCTTGCGACTCGACGACATCTTTTTCCTGAAGGGTTTGAATAAACATACATTTTTTAGGACAGATTTTCTTGACTAATTCAGTATGCAAAGAATCAAGGGACTCGATTCTAGAAAGGTCTTGAAATCTATTCATCTTCATTAGAAACAGGACTTAATAATGGACCTAAGGGGATTACATTTATATATATGTTTGCACAAATGTTTCTGTAACACTTCTTCAATATGCAGAGTCCTGTTGTAAAAACAATATATGGTTCTCCTGATTAAATAATGTAATGAATGTCAATAATAACATATATGAACATTAAGATGAAAGAGAGACAGAATTACTCACTCTGACATCTTGGCGTTTGTTTGGCGTCACAGCCTGCAGAAAAACACAATCTGACATTTTGACAAAGTGCAAAAGTGTGTAAAAAAAAAAAAAAGAATCTCAGAAAAGTGATTAACTGCACAGCTGACACAAGGAGGGCGAGGAGGATCAGGACTGGAATGTCTCTGTCCAGTCTATAAGAAATAATAACTCCACTTTGAGGAAACAGGACACCGAGCATCAGTGGAGGCAAAATCATCGAGGCTAAATTAGGACAAGGATCTAGGGTCCAGTTGTCCACCCTGGGCATCCTTGTCATGAAAGGTCTGTCGTCTGGAAGATTATCAGGAAACACCAGATACGTCCTCTGTTGGTACAAACATCTCTGACATGACTGAGATGGACACGTCTTCTCTGAAAATAGAGACTGTGCAGAACAATCTGGATCAACAACCACTGTGTCCAAACCAAAAACTAAAGGCTCTTCAACGCAGGCAAAATGTCTAAAAGATGTTAAAACAATGATTTATCCACCAAGACAAACATAGAGTTGAGAATAGTTGATGAAAACCAGGGATGTTACAATAATCTTTTGCACGTGATCCGACTCCTTTTACACCGAGTGTCTGCATTTGATCTCATGTTTCTCATAAGACACATAGCAGATCCTGATTTTTAACAGAATAAAAAACAAAAAAGTATCGGAAATGGATCTGACTTTATGTAGATGATACTCATCTATTAAGAAATTTCAGAATCAGCACTGATCCCAATTCTTCAGATCGACTTGAGACCTCCAGAGTATAAACCGCATCAGTTACATTTTCTCAAAAAACGCATCATAACATACCTTAAAGGAGCTCTTTACAATATTTAGAATGTATTTATGATTCAGAGATTGTCTGCACACGGCTCTCAACAGAGTGGCGGCTGAGCCAGCGGCTAACGGTCCTAACAGCTCAAACAGTGCTAACAATAGTAACAGTGCTGACAGAGCTACCATTTTTATCCAGGGGGGAACTAGTGGGTGGGCGCTACACTTCCGCATCGATGCCATCCCGATATCGGTGGTAACCACCGTTGAGCACAGTGCAGAGTGGCGCTGATCAGTTCTCAGTGAGGGTGCTTTCAGACCGAGATTTCAGGGAGCATTATCAGGGACTCATGTTGTTCCAAAGTTGTATAATTGCCTAGAGTTGGTTCGTGTTCTCACGGCAGCATTTACAAGAGGACCAGATCAAATGCCTTGTGTGAGAAAGCTGCTCTTGATTGGTCAGAATTTCCACGTGGGAAAAATCCAGGAAGTAAAGCAAACGTTGAAGAAGAGTACACTTGCAAGATAAATGTGACACTTTCTAATGTCACAATGGAGGGACAACTACGCAGGTTGATTTTAGCGCTGCTCATCGTGGACTATATTGCTGTCATTGTTCATTTTAGTCAAACCATACAGTTTGAAAACGAGGCGCGGCTCCAACTAGAAAACAATGTTTTGATGCATTGGATGTGCTGAATGTGCATATTAAGGCAGTACAGGAGGAGGTGCACATTAATAATCCTCCAGGACTGTAACATGCTCATGTTTAACCCAAACAATGTGTCATGTGACTGCAGTTGCTTCACATCCAGGTCGGAACACCTTCTCACCACAAACCAACCGCACCAGAGTTCCTTTGGAACCGGACTGAGACCACCTCTTCAAGAAGGTCTCAGTCCGGTTGTTTTGCTGTGTTCACACCTGAGTGTGATTGATGTGTTCACACCTGCACAAACGAACCGCACTGAGGGGGCAAATGAACTTGAGTTTGACTGAACCGAACCAAACAGGGCAGATGTGACAGCGGCCTGGGAAACACACATGCATTAACATGCACGTTCATCCGTCTGTCTCCCACAACAGAGAACAGAGAAGCTCAGATTACAACACACACAGAGGGAGTGTGACTTCATTCTCTGCTTAGTGCGCCATTACTCCACAATAAACTTACACAGCAAACAGAGGTTTGCTGCTGTATCACTACTCTGACTTTGAATTGAGCTTCTTTGACCCACCAGGCTAACGGTTCACTATTGGCCAATTTCAGGCTGTCGATAAGCATCTGTCACAATAGTTTTTGTGGTATGTCTCGCACCACTGGCATGAGTCAGCCCGTGTCAGCTTTTTTTTAGCCAATTCAGCGTGGTGAATCAACGTCAACCTCTTTAGCAGAAATGGTTCATAATTGTTTGTGCTGTTGTTCACTAAGGTACAGTATATACTTCCTTCTCTCAACATCAGGCTGTGTTGTTGATGTGCTAACTGGCTAACTAGCATCTTGAATCCGTCCTGTCAGTCTTCTGATTTCCCTTGTTGAATGTCAAATACAGATTATCGCCACCTGCTGGTATGACAACGTATTTACTCTCACACAGTTTTGAGTGTACGTGGTCGTTGGCACCAACATTCAAGTACGTGTTCAAGTGCAACTTTTTGGCCGAGACACAGGCGATATGAGGCAACGCAGCAGTCCGCTTTTGTTGCCACTAGTTCTTTGGTTTTTGGTTTCATGTGTCTTGATCAATACTGATGTTTTTATACACAACCAAGTTCACAATGGAATTTCAAAATCTAAACAAAGAACTTTTGAGAGGGTTTGGAGGCAGTGTAACCAAATCATGTATTGTGTCTACACAAATGTATTTTCAAGAGTTCCCTTTGACAGTTCGTAGCCATATTGTGTTTTAATTGTTAATCGTTGAAGTATCCTGTGTTAAAATTTAATCAGATAACTTTTGAGACTCATATTTTGTAATTTTAATAACTTGGTGACTTTTTTTATACACAGTTACTTTATACTTCATACTTAATTCCATATTATAGGTTTTGCTGATAAACATAAACACCTCAGTATCATCAGCATAAGTAAATCTTTGTTATCTGTTAAAATGGTGACAGTTCTAAAGTGCTATCTGACTTTAAATATGTGAGACCTCTACTGAGTGATATCTTCATCTTCTCATAATTATTTGGCAAGAAACATAAAACCTGTTCAGTGTAGCACACTGCAAATTGAGCAATAAATCAGTTTATTGACAAACTATATGAACTTTGCACTTTCATTAAATATACAGCACCAGTCTGGCTCAGTCAGCACCTCAGCTTCAGACACCACAGCCAAGAATTCATACAGTCCTGTATCTCTGAGTGAGCTGGCATCACCATGCCCCAAAGCTAACCCTAAACAATAATATACATTTTTAATTTCAGTGGAGAGTTATTGTGTCCTGCTATGGTGGATGTTTGCTAGGTTGAGCTCCTGAATTCAAAATCTCAAACACAGCTGCCAGAAAAATCACCAGAATAGATGGTGGCATTGTACATTTCTGCAAGCCATGCATATGTTACATCTGTACGTTAAAACGCTGTGTTTAACTTGTAGTTATGTTTAGGTACAAAAAACGCTTGATTATGGTTAGGGAAAGATCATGTTTTGGCTTAAAGACTCACTTTTCATGGCACTATCCTGTCAGGAAACGCAGCAATGTCTTGATAAAAAAAAACAACTGCTTACCGTGGCACTATTTCCAGTTGAAACACAGTGATGGGTCACCAAAGAACACCCATGTTTGGTGGCTAAAAACTCGCTGGAAAAACAGCAACGGGTTGCTAAATCACATCCGTTGTGTTTTTTTTTTGGTCTTGAACTGCGACACTTGGCAGGCATCTCATCTAGATGTCCACCTCTCAGTGACAAAGTCAGCTCATACAATACGTTGATATGATTCATATGAAAAGTACAAATTTGACTTATTCGTGGTTTGCAGAAACGTACAATGCCAACATTTTCTTCTGGTGACTGGGCTGAAATTTCAGCTCCCGTTGACGTCAGTCCTCAGTCAACCTGTAATACAATTAGCCGCTGACACAAACAGCACCACAAACTGTGGACTTATTTAGAGAAAACAAGTCTTCGAGGTCTTATTCAAGCTTCAAATACAAAATGGATCTGATATCTTTTCTCGCAAATTGATTCGATGACTTGTGTCGTGTCCAAATTCTGTAAAACACATTGATCTGTTCTGCTGTACCTTCAGACAATGAGCTCACATGTAGATTGTAACTAAATTTACATTATAAACCATGCATGAATGCATTTGTAAGGTAACTGTATTGGAACATAATGCACATTTTAGCTTTTCTATTTCTTGGTCTCTTGACCTGCAGACTACTGTTAGCATGAATCAAGCATGGAGCCAACGACTGCTTCACTGAACAAAGCTGTCAGATTATTAAGTGAGCCAGTCTGAGCTCTGACACATTAAATCTATCCAGACAGTAGGTGGTGACAGCAATAAACACCAGGACTATCACTTTTCAGCTCCAGAGACTATTTACACCAGCACACCTCATCAAGCATCACTTCACACCTGAAGCACCAACCGCTTCACCCACAAAAATGAACCATATTAACATGCAAAAACTCCTCAGTGGACATCATCACCCTCATCAGCACACAGCGACAGTTTCTAACGAGCTGGTTCGTTTTACCGACTTGTTAAACAGTTTAAAAACAACACAGCTCAAAGAAATCAAACAAAAATCCTATTTTCACTCAGCAGAGAAATAGATTTGAGAAAAAAAAGATTTCTCACCTGTTGTTCGAAGACAGAAACAGAGCGGAGCGTCAGATTTGGGAAGCAGCTCAGATTTGGCATTATAAGTTGGTATATATTGCATTCCCCAAAGGCAAAGGAAACCCCATCTTTCTCTTTATGGAAGTCGATTTTCTCACAGACCAATGGGCTCCCCAGCACCTGAAATATTATATCCAACCCCCTCCTTCACAGCTGAATCTCCTCCCTATCTGACCATTATAAATAACCCCTTCCTTCTAGATTGTTTCACCGATTACATTATTCCCCTCTGACCCACCATGAGGAAGGTGCTTGAGAGCCTGAGGTGAAAACACAGATCAATAAGATGTGACTCGAAACACAGATTAATATCAGACTATATGAACACTGCCAGGCTCATTGTATAAAAGGCTGGGCTGGATGAAGGAGACCAGGGAGCAGCAGTGATGAAAGTTGAGGGGATGGCAGCTGGGAGGGCAGTAAAAGTCAGAGTGCAGTTTCAAGGCGGTCATTTAGGAAACACTAGCTAAGTGGATGCTATTAAGAAGCTGTTAAAAGGAGTTGGGGGGGGGGGGGAGGATGAAGATCACATGGGATTTTCTGTGAAGAAAGAAAAGCAGGACCATGGGAGTAAAAAGGTCATAACAGAACAGACTTACTGGATGCTAAAGATCCGTTTACCGGTTTATTAGGTCCAAATTTGTTTACAGCTTGTGGTTTAGACTTAAAACCATGTGGCTGGCAGCAGAAAGGCCTCTCGGAATAAATATTGTTTTGATTTACCAGTGAAACAACATGATCTCATCCCTACTCATCATATTTTGACGCTTTGGCAGAAGCCCCAGCGTCACCATGACACCAGGAGCAGTCTTTTGAGTTGTATCTTGACCAGGAATGAGTTAAGACAACTGGATACAGTGTTTGAGGCAGGGCCCATTTCATACCTATCAAAGAAGCCAAAAAACTATTTTTCCGCAGTATGAAATTACCCAGATCTTCCACATCGTGGAGCCCACAGAGCAGACGCACTGGAGACTTCCACCGGCCGAGCAGCTAACTTCTGTTTTAGTGGGCCGCTTACTTTAATGTGGATACAGTACTTTAATCATGCAGCTGTTTAGACTTTCAAAATGTTTTTAGACCAAATGAACCAAATCTGGATATTAAAATAATAATTAATTAAGTAATTTCGTCCTGGTAATGATGCTCAAAAAACTTACATTAGAGACGACTGCATCACTTAACGGACCCAAATGTTGTAATCCACATTTGGCAAAAATGCACACTCATGTATTCCCAATGGGCGCAGAAGCAGGAAAGCATTTGCTCTGGTGTTTCTCAATGAGAGGGGTAAGTCAAATAAATGCAGGGGGGTCAGCCATGGCTGCTGGTGACAGACAAACTGCAGCATGTGAAGCCATGAAGAACTCTTAACTCTATCACAGTTTATCTTAAAGTCAAATTAGTTAAGCTGGAAGATATGATGTGAGCTTGGTGCTTCTAACAGCAATCTGTTTATGTTGCACTTTTACATTGGTAGCTAATGTATCACACCAATTTGTGTGGTGACTAGAGGATGCTGTGTTTACAGTGTTTCCAAGTGATGCAATGCAGAAGCTAGTTAGTTGTTAGTTCAGTAGGTAGTTGCTACTAAGTGTTCATGGTTTTTGGGGTCAGTTGCTAGAGGGGTTAGCACTTATAATGAACAGTTTTTCAAAGTGTTCTGCTACTGCCCTGGACTGAATCCATCAAATCCCGTCTCAGATGTGGTGAGAGGACGCAACCCAAAATAGAAAGCACGGACATCACCTAATGAAGTGGACAGCAAATTATAGTGGTGACAAAATCAAAGCAGAACTCTTTAGCACTCTGATACAGTTAATGTGAGCCATTTTCACACATCAGACTCTGGGAGCATCCATGATATCTTCTCAAAAACATCTTTAAGTGATATAACATAACATACAGAACAGTAACTTTAGAATAATAAATGTAACATTGAGGTTCCCAAAACATTTATTTAGCCTACTTACCAAACAAGGAGCTCCTCTGATGTATCTCTGCTTGCATGAACCCAGACAACACCTCCACCTGTCATCTGTGTACAAAGTCAAGTGACTACATGTATTTTCAGAGTAAATTGAACCATTTGTTGCCAGTTGCTTGTTTTTTTTTTTTTTTGGAAAAAAAGGAGCAACATGTAGGATTGATAGGATTTGGTGGCATACAGCGGCGAGGACTGCAAATTGCAACTGCTCAAGCTTCTCCCGTGTGCCAAGTGTGAACTCCTGGTTAGGACTCCTTTAGTGTTTGTTGTTCAGGAGGTTTTCACTGGGAGCAGAATTATGCGCAGAAGTATCTTTGTCTCCGAAATACACTGATTAAAACCGCCAACACTGAATAAAGCAGTTTCACTTTACAAATCAGTGTCTCCTAAAGCTGTTCTGCACGTCACAGGCTGCCAGCCCAGCACCTGCTAATGTGTGCTCACCTTTTTTCTAATCCAGACGTTCAGGAGGTTTTTACCAGGGGCTGATTTATCCACAGAGGTCTCCTCCTCTCAAAAACATACTGGCCCACTGCTTGGGGTGGGGGGTTCAAATCCCGGGGATGGGGGAGCCCTTCTGTGCGGAGTTTGCATGTTCTCCCCATGTCAGCGTGGGCTTCCTCCCACAGTCCAAAGACATGCAGGTTACTAAAGTGACTAAAGGGTTACCATACATTTTCATGGACAACATTTCAAAACCCTTCCATGAATTTTCAAGGAGCCATTCACAACATATAGCATGAGCAGAACTGTATGATACCCCAAACGCTGATTATATTACTGAAGGCAGTCTGCTGACATGGAGCAGTACATCATTTGGCACTCTGAGTGACAATGTAAGGCTCTAAACTGCATGTCAATTGCTCCATCTCAAAAACGCGGTGCCATTTAAAAACATTAATGGGGCATATGTATGGCAACTTTGGAATTTGTGACCCAAGGTCATACGTCATGTTATTTTTTTGCCCCACTTGAGATTCAAACTCTAGTCAAACATTATTCCAAGTACACGGCATAAATGGAAGGAGAGACAGAATACAGGGAGAAAAACGAAAAACCAGACGAAAGGTAAAGACAATACAAACAAGAACTAAGATAGTAACTTGTGTGCAAGTCACAGTTAATTGCAAAATAAAAGCTTGTGCACACAAGAAATATCACCTTTCGGGACTTCAGGAGCTCTGTAAAAGGTTGTGAAAAATTACACTAATATAGTAATAGCTTTCTCTATTGTGGACTGTCTCAAAGGTGAGCACTGTCAAGATGTTTTGCATTTGTCAGTAGCGCAAATTCACATGTCAAGGTTCACCTGAGTTGAACTCTAAAGATCTGTGAGGATTTACTTTGTCTGTGCAAACACCACCTGCCTCGTAGTTTTACTCCTTTGTACCACACGGTTCATTTGCTAAGTCATCACCAGAACAGCTGTTAAGTACATCCTCTTCTTTAATAATTCAACAGTACAAATTATATCTGACTTAAGAAACATGACATGAGAAATACATCGCTTCACATTTCTGAATATCATATTCATTGAGAACATTCTGGGCCACTGAGAAATCACCTGAGAGAACGAGTTAGATAACCTATTCAGTTTGATATGATAACTTTGAGTTAGAGCATGGATAAACCAAAGATATGCTCACACTGGCTGTCTACCGCACTGTCCCGTATGAACATGTGGAGAAACACATCAATTTTGGGTCTCATCACCACCTGCATTAGTAACACCGGTACTGTATGACTGGCAAATATATTACAGCAAAGACCACATCACACAAATGTCATGTACTTTTTTTTCCTCAAAATAAAACATCAAAAAAATATTCAACATTTTACATTTTACATATTGAGAGAAGTTAAAGTCATACAAAGTGTGCAAATGTCACCATACGGTCACAAGACGACTCCAAATGAAGGCACCATACTCTTAGCTTCCACTCCTACCAAACCGCTCACATGACAACTTCACTGTGCTGCGCAGGGTTTGTGTCACAAATGTTTGAAACGTCCTGTACAACTGATTCTCACCAAGGCTGCCCATGAACTGAAAGACAAAAAAAAAAAAAAAAAAATGGAAAGAAGAAAATTTAAAAAACCCTGTAGTGTTGCCGTTTATCCTTTCAAGACATAGTTTCAGTGTTTGTATAGTTGGAAGGTTTTGTCTTACAGTAATAATGTTCTGATACAAAGTTGTTCCATAGTGAAATGTACTGAACTAAAATGGTTCAAGACAAAAATACAACAGTGGGCTAATATATATCTTGTTCAAGTTTTACACTAAAAAATACCTTTAGCTAAGATGATCGGCTCCAACATTCCGATCATGACAATTTTTTGTACGAGGGAGGGGGTTTTGATTGAATAAACAGGACAAAAAATGTTAGCTGACTAACCCAAACCTGATCTGTTGTTACATTATTGTAGAGTTAGCTAACTAGAACCAAAATTTGGCTGTTTAATTAAACCATTAGTTAAACAGGACCAAACTTTTAGCTGCTTAATTAAACCGTTAGCTAAGCAGAACCAAACTTTCAGCTGCTTAATTAAACCGTTAGCTAGCCAGAACCAAACTTTCAGCTGCTTAATTAAACCGTTAGCTAGCCAGAACCAAACTTTTGGCCGCTCAATTAAAATGTTACCTAAACAGAACCACACTTGTACCTATTTGACTAAACCGTTACCTAGCCAGAACCATACTTTTAGCTGCTTAATTACATGTTAGCCAGACAGAACCAAACCTTTAGCTACTTGATTGAACTTGTAGCTCTTTCTGGACCTGAACTTGCTTTGAGCTGCTTGTTATCTGCTTAATTAAACCGTAAGATGACCAGAACCAAACTCACAGCTGCTTAACTACCATTATCTATAAAAGTACCACACTTTTAGCAGCTTAATTAACCCGTTAGCTAAAAAAAAAATTCAGCTGCTCAATTGGACCATTAGCTAAACAGAACCAAACTTTCAGCTGCTTAATTAAACAGTTAGCTAGACATAAACACACTTTCAGCTACTCAGTTACTGCGTTAGCTAACCAGAACCAAACTTTTATCTACTAAACCAAAACATTAGCTAACCCTAACCTGTAGCTAAACATTACATGTAAAATGGCTGACCTGAAACATCTGATTGCTTCACATTTGGATTTTGTTGGCCACCCATCTAAAAAAACAGCAGAAGTTGGACAAAGTGGGAGCGTACCTATGTTCCCCGGGTTCTGTGTTCCCCGGGTCCTATGTTCCCCGCTTTGTATGGGACCCCAAAAGGGTCCTATGTTCCCCGCTTTGTATGGGACTGGGGAACATAGAACCCTTTTTATTAATAAGGGTTCTATGTTCCCCGCTTTTCCCCAAAAGGAACCGGGGAACATAGGCCCTTTTTTTTTAAAAAAGGGTCCTAACCCTAACCCCTTTTTCTCAAAAGGGTCCTATGTTCCCCGGTCCCATACAAAGCGGGGAACATATTTCCTTTTGGGGAAAGTGGGGAACATAGGACCCTTTTTTTTTTAAAGGGTCCTATGTTCCCCAATCGGGGAACATAGAACCCGGGGAATATAGGGATGGCCCCGGACAAAGTTTCAGGCTTTTCAGGGCTGCACGTTCCAAAATATTAAAATTGCATTTCTAATCATCACCTCTATGCAATTATATGTGCATAATGAAGCCATAATAGCATTTGAAAGGAGTGTGGTGCATAAAGTCAAGCTCTCCTACAACCTTTCTTAAATCAGAGCACAGGCTCATGGAGCTAATCTGTCTGGCAGCTATTAGCGATTTTCCACAAGTTCAAAAACACACCTTTTTAGTATTTGTCATTATCCCTGTCTGTTCACTCACTGCCATCCAAACAGTATCCTTCAGACTCTGCAACAAGTTCTCATTTAAAAAGGGGTTTACCCTCTAACTATGGGGAAAAAGAGAGGGAACGCTATGATCTTTATATCTAGAATCATGTTGACCTTTGTCTCAACTCACCTCACATCTTCAACCAACTGTTTTCAGATGATGTTAATATTAATCCTCTGGTTTTCAAAGTACTTACCGAACTGTATGTAGCACTAAGTATGAAAACCTGCCATTTACCAAATGTTGGCACTAATGCTGAAACTATTAGCTGATTCACTAATTAGTTGATAAACAAAAAATTAACATTTTTCATAATCAATCTTTTAAGTTCTTTAAAAGCAGAAATAAACCCTCTCTAATGTGAGGATTTGCTGATTTTATTCTTTGTATCACTGTAATATGAATATTTCGGGTTTTAGGACTTTTGAAGATGTCTCATGAAACTGGGTACGTCATTTTTCACTGTTTCATCATTTTCTAGACTAAATCATTGATCAATTCATGAAGAAAATTATCAATAATCTTAACCACAGTTAGCACTGGCTATTCTGACTGACTTAATCAAATACCATAACATATTTTCTACGGTGAAGTTGTGGTATAGATAACGTATGACCAAACAGTAGTTGTGCAAAAACATTTTTGTATTAAAAAAAGTACAAGATAGTAAAAATAGATAATGATCAGACTGAAACTTGTATTGTTTCAGTGGCAGGACAACAAATGGAAAAGAAAGTAAACTTGGGTGATCAGGGATATTAGATAGTGTGAACCATGAACACTTTAATTAAACTGTTACCTTAATCCAGTTATTTTTATGAGCATGTAAACATCTCCCTCCTATGTGAAATGTCATCAGCTATACTCCCAAAATAATAATTCAAACAATATTAAAATAAAAAGGCAATAATTTGCATTTTGGACAACCCTGTGAGTAGTGCAAAATCATCCCTTGCAGTGTAAACCCTGGATCGCAGTTCAGTGGCACCGATACGATAATACTGATAATCCACAGAGATGCACGTCACCCAGCTTCACTGCATACACTGAAGTTCAAATTCCCAAAGCCACAGTCTGAGCACCACCGTAGAGAATAAACCAAACAAACTGTGGCTGAAAATGGGGCTACAGTCTTCCTCACAGAGGACAGGTTGGGCCGTTCACCTTCCATCAAGTATGACCTCGGAAAACACACGCACACACACACACACACACACACAAAAGAAAAAGAATGGCGTGAAAAGGTCAAAGAATAGAAGCATGTCAAATTTTAAACGTGTGTCCATGTGCAAAGTTCCCTCTTGCGATAGAAGCAGATTAATCAGTCATGTAATCCAGTCAGTGGTGATAGATCCAATGGAGACAAATCATATGTACGTCCTCCAATCTTCAGAGTATCAGCAGCAGAGTTGCAGCTTTAACAGGAAAACAACTTTTTTAAACCCATCGACTACAACGGCTAGTACATCCAAACAACCATTTTACCAGCAAAGAAGATTTCTAGGAAGAAAAAACAAAATAAATGGTGGCCAGTTACTGGCTCCGTTGTCAGATTGTGTCAAAATCTGTATGAAACTGATGCAGTTCACACCTGGCATCCGAAATATGTCTAAAATGCATCTCTGGTGACGGCTTGTGTTTCATTTTCATTTCAATTAATCTGAGAGGTAAGTAAAACCATTTAAAACAGAATTCAGATTAAGCAGCAATAAAGCCAGAGAGGAAGGTTAGGCATTTGAACTCACTTAAGCAATACTTCATATGTATATAAAGTACAAACTTAAAAGGTACTCTGTGGTGTTTTTGACTGCTAGTAGTGTTATTGAGCAATGTATTGATCAACAGGTCCCTGTTTTGTTTGCGCATGGTGACACTGTCACATCTGTATTCAAAGAAAAGTCCACAGGGTTCCTTTAAAAGTCCCTGTACAAATTATTTAGCATCTCAACTTAAGTTATTAGTGTTGGGCAACAGGACGAACACCCTGTATGATAGTGATGAGCAGTTTTCTTAAAGGTGGAGTCAGCGATTCTAATCCAATACAACACACTATTTGTCATATTCAGTGATTATCTTCTCATGGTACGCTAGCTGTTTGTTCAATGTGTGCGTGGGTTCATACACAACCCTGGCTCTGTAAAGGAGCTCTGAGGCCAGCAGCGGCGCTCAACAGAGCTGCCGGGTTCTACTTCAGACAGGAGCCGGCCACGGAGCTCTACAGCTGCTCCACTGACTTCCTAGTGAGCCAAAGCTTTCACTGTAGCACTTATCAGTCGGTTTTAACATGCCAAGCCGGGCCTGAGATGGACCATCAATAGAGGGGGGCCCAAAGCACACCTGACTGCCTCCAGGTGGATAGCAGTGGCGTTTCACTGACCGCAGACAATCCCCCTTCTCTCCCTGAAACAAGCGAGTGTTGCAAGACTCAGCTCATGTCTGTCGTTGCAGGAGACGGGACAGAAAGTTGTTTTTAAAAGTCTCTGTGTTTTCAGCTCTCAGTACTTTTCTACCTTCCAACTGATTATCTGTGGTTTGGAGTTACGTTTCTCTCCTGCATCCCTGTCTGTACTTCACATACACCTTACCGAGATGCATTTTCATGCCAGGTGTGAACGGAGTCGCAGACTAATCTAATGAGTAATTTCCCACCCTGTACTGGAATGACATCAATAATCTCCTGAGATCTCCCATTAAGAAATTCCCCTGATATAAAACACCACCACAACGGCATGGCACAGAACTGAAGCAGGACTATATCAACTATACGGCCAACACTATTACATCGTTATACCAAGAAGCTGTGTATATTACAGTGAAGTCTATTGCATCTCCTGTTCTGGGGGGGGGGGTCACAGCTGGGTCACATTTACAGGTTTGAAGAGGAAATACATCAAATTCTTAACTTTTACAACCACTGAACTCAAGTGGGGACAATAATATCCAGTTGACCAGTCTACAGGGGAAAGTACAGCTGCCCTGGGTCGTCTGTAGGAAAATATCTAATACTATGGGAAGGTGGAGAAATAAAGAGAGTCTTGGACAGCAGCCGAGCACACTGAGAGTCAGGTCCACGCCACTTTGCGAGAGATGGCCTGTTTGAAGCACTCGGGGTCGACGTTGCCTCCAGGCCGCAGTGCCCTCTCCAGGCTCACCAGCACGTTTTGGTGGCACTCCCTGATGTTGACCGGGTACTTGGCTCTCAGTAGCTCGTAGGCGGCGATCAGCCTCATGTTCTGTTTTACCATCAGGTATTGGATGATGCACGTCGGCGCCAGAGAGAAACCGTCTCGACAATGGACCAGGACGCGCTTCCTCTTCTCTGTGGAGGCATCGATGCACTCGTTGATGTCCTCGAAGCAGCGCTGCTTCAAGGCCGGGCCGTCACCTAGAGCGTCCGGCACGTCTCCGATGTCCACCTTGAGGCGGGACCAGCTGTGGCGGGCACCACGGGAGCAGGTGCATGGAATGAGGTTGAGGCTGGGGCCCAGTTCTCCTGGCACACTGCTCATGTCTATGATGCTGTCAATGTTGTTGCGGCACAGGGTGCGCCCGTTGTACGCCGCATTGAGGTTGCCAACATAGATGTAGTCCGTCACCTTGGAGATAACAGGTTCAGAGTACTGGAAGTGTTCAGGGCCGCTGGGTTTGGGCTCAGGCGTATCCGGGCCCCTGGCGCCGGCCGGCCCCGTGGCGGCTCTCCTGCTGTAGTTGCGGAGCTTCTTGGAGCCGGAGCGGGACGGAGGGTTGGAGTCGGACTCAGAGCTGCTGTTCCAGGGAGGAGAGAAGAGAGAGAAGCGGCTGGATGATTTGCTCTTGTTGAGGATCTCCACTGGGCTGGACAGGCCGGAGCTGGATGCTGTGGTGGAAGCTGAGGCGCAGAACAGAGACGCTCGCTCCAGAGATCCTGTGCTGCTGGCAGCTCCTGCGCTGTAGGCCTGCTCCATCTGCAACAAACAAACACACACACGCACACACACATGACATGTGAACCACAGAAACCCCAACATGGAACTGGTTCTGCTGTTTTTCCTGCACCTAAGTTTGAACCGTGCAGAGCATTTTGACCAAAACTATATTGATTCAGAACCAGAAAAGTGGGATCTCAGCTGGAACCAAAAAAAATCACAAGTTTTCCTTGACCTGAAGTCTGAACCGTGACGACATCAGTGGGCATGTCATACTCTACAGGTTGACAAGAGAGGATGGAGGAGTCAAGTGAGAAATCGTCAAAGAGCACGCAGTGGTCTCATTAATAGTTCTGTGCTTGTTTTCTAGGGTAGAAACAAACATCTGTATTAACAGAACAAAGGTTGTGTAATGTCCTCCGTTGACGACACATCTTTGATCACAATGGTTCCGCTCAAAACTGGTGGAAACACAGACTGGTTCACTGGATAGCATCAAGATTCCAGTAATTGTAAACGTAACGAGTTCAAGAACCAAAGCTATGAATTTAAATATGGCACAGATTTCCATTCCACTTTAAAGAGCATGGTGTGAGCTCCAAAGTAATTATGCCATGTACAGGGGTGAGACATCTCACATACATTGAGTTATGTGCTTCAATACCATTAAAATAAATTACCACAGCATGTACTATTAACATCAGCCCACCTCCCCTGAAGAAATAACGACCGTAGCTGTAGTCATATGACCCCTTCCATACTAACTCTTCCATAACGCCTCCCAAAATAATAATTCAAACAATATTAAAATAAAAAGGCAATAATTTGCATTTTGGACAACCCTGTGAGTAGTGCAAAATCATCCCTTGCAGTGTAAACCCTGGACCGCAGTTCAGTGGCACCGATACGATACTGAACTGGAGCTGGTGGTGGCTAAACCACGCTGTAACAGATACTGAGTTTCTTTTTTCATTAATTCGCGTTTTAGCTGGTTAGCGCGGTACAGATGCTGCATAATGGGTTTTGCGTCTTTTACGTCAATATCATGCTCTAACACAGTGGTGCGAGTGGGGATGTCACCAAAGAGGCACGGGAACTCCGCCACTAAGCCGGTAATACCGCGCTGCTGCTCAGGCTCCAGATGAGTGAGATGTTGTGGAAACTCAACCAGCATTTGGGAATTTGGCAAATGCGCACCTTGAACAGAGGAAGGACGCACGTGTAAACCATCTCCCTCATCTGGATTGGACTCGGCTACGATGAGCGCTTCCGTTTAAGTTAGAGGTTGACGCTAGTGCAGTCGGTGCCGGTGCGGTGTTGCTGCAGGAGGATGCGGCAGGTGTCAAGCATCCTGTCAGCTATTTCTCACACAAATTTAACAACCACCAGCTTCGTTATTCGACCATAGAAAAGGAGATGCTCGCCTTACTATGGTCACTCCAGCATTTTGAGGTTTATCTTGGGTCTTGTAGTCTCCCCATCGTCGTTTACACCAACCATAACCCCCTCGTATTCTTTGCGCGCATGTACAACCACAACCAACGTCTCATGCGCCGGGCTCTGTTGGTTCAAGAGTGGAACCTCGTGATTAAGCATAAGAAAGGGGCCGATAATGTCGTAGCTGACGCCCTGTCCCGTGTGTGGTCTGTTCAGTAACAAATCCGGCAGGTTTGAATTTATGTGGTTGGGTGTTATGGTCTTCGGACCTTTGTGCATTTGATTTTCTGTGTTTAATGTGCTGTGCACGTCATTGTGGGGGTTATTCGGCCAGCACCTATCGATCAGTTATGTGTGTGTCTAACTGTCTGCTTTTCTGGAGGGAGTCCCTGGCTAACCACTCCTCCAGCCCGCCCTCCTTTGCTGCTGTTCAGTGTTCCCCCGCTTGCAGGTCGGCCAGCCCCCTCGCTGCTGTCATCGTTTCCAGCCAATCACCGCTTTGCCAGCCCCTCGTCCGAACCTTTAAAAGCTGCTCGGAGTCAACAGGAACGGCGGCTGTGATTTAATCTGAGCAGTCCGCCTCGCTCCAATTCTGTCACGAGTTCTGTATTCTTGTGATTACTGTGAGTATCTGGGAAATCTGAAGGCATTAGGACCTAGCTTCTTAGCCTAGCCACATTCCTTTTGCTCACACATGTAGGTTTTTCCTGTTTAACTCACTAGACTTATGGGTGCTGGTCAGAGTGTGTTTTGTTTGTCAGGTAAGTCATAGAGCAGACAGGTAGAGATGTTTTTGTTTTGTTTATCTGGGTGGCCTTCCGCTAAAGTTAGTTAGCTGGGGTGCTTTTGGTGACAGGTCAGAGTTTTGTTTTAATTGTTTTATGATTTGCCGTCACGCGCAGCCCTTCCCAGTGTTTGTTTTGCTGTAGATGTAATTCACCGCTGAGGCTCCTCTCCTCAGGTCTGGTTTCTAAGTTGTGTTGAATAGCCTGTGTTTTGTTTTCTTGTTGTGTGACGCTTTTCCCGTATTGCCATTTTATTGCATTGAATGAATAAACGGCAGCTTGCCTTATTCATTCTACCTTTGTTGTCTGGTTTTATGTTGCTTCCCTTACCCCTAGTCTCCTATTGGGTTGTAACACTGGCAGCTTCTGAGTGCACGTTAAACACAACATGTGTGAGTGTTTTAATCCTTTCTGTGGAATTTATTATTATCTGTCATTTCATTTCTATTGACAGTGATGTGTTTTGCTCAGTTTCGTCCTGCTAAGGACAGAGCACGAACTCAGCGGCAGGTGTGTTTGGACGTACCTGAGCTTTGAGGTTGTTCTTCCACTCCTGCGTCTCCAGAGCTTTGAAGCGTCCACTGCTGTCGGAGGAAATCGACATGCAGAGGGGCCGGTGAGCTCTGGGGGGAAGCTGGGGGGTGAGGGCCACGGGGACGGGCCTCACATCGACGTGCTCGCTCCTACTCATCATCAGATTTGGACAGGAGCCTGGGTCACACAGGAGGACAGGTCTGAGATCAACAGCTAGGAGACAGAGTAATCTGTCCTTGGTGGATAAACCTGTGAGGGCTGATCAGCTGTGATCTTTTTAAGTTTAATACAACATTTGACCCCAGCTTGTTTGGAGAAAAAGTTCAGTGATGACTTCACTGGACCTGCCCTAAAATATTCTTGATGTAACTTCAGAAACAATAGCTAAAAATGTTTACGTAACATTAGCGACACATTTTAGACCTAAAAAATGTCTTTGTAAGTCTGGTTAAGCCGTAGCTGGAAACAGTGTGTGTCCTTTCTCAGTTTGTTCAGTGTGAACCGTAATTAAATCTTCAGTTAATTTCCACTTATTATCTTTTTGGAAAGTCCCTTTGTATGTGTGGCAACTGTCAACAAATACAACCACAACAAAACTCACTGCAGTCAAAGCCAGCCACATCATCTCACTATAACATCATCACCAACAATAGAAAATTAAGTTCAGCACATCACAAGGATCTGTTTAAAAGAGCTTAGGACTGGGCAGTGTGGAGGAAATCAAATCTCACAATACTTTTGACCAAATACCTTAAAATCAATATTGCAACAACATGACAGGGTCGACTATTGGTGCTTTCACAACATATTTACACAATGAGATTTTTGATAAATCAGTAATGTGTAGCGCTGCCCCCGACTATTAATTATCCTAGTCTCCGTAACATTGTATCAGTAACATTGTTAACACTGTGCTACATTACAGAGAAATACAAACCGTACTAATGAACCTTCATTAATATAGGCCTATATTTTATCTCCAAGTGCACGTCACACACTGAGCGAGCCGCCTGTTAATGACGCTGTGGGCTAATGGGCATGTAGCTACTTCCATGTTTCACATGATACGTCATGTTTGTAGTCGACCAATGAAGATGAGTTTACATATCACCTTGGGTTCGACCTTCACCTTCTCAAAATGATCCCACACTTTGGATTTCCTGCCCGACATGTTATTAACTAGCCTGTGGAATAACCGCAGGTACCAGCCCTGGAAATTAACCTGACTCCTGTCTGACTGCTGAGCGTGGACACTTCCTGTGTCTGTCCTTTCACATTAAAGTCTCACATGCTCCAGTCATATAGGTTTGGATTTTTTTTTGACAAAGTGCAGCTCCTGATAGAGTTTCAAGTTTGTTTGTTTTTTTCCCTGCAACTAAGCGACCAATGAAATCTTAACTTCTATGACCTTTCTGTTTGACTAACGACTACTGGGGGAGCCAAAATAATGTGGATATACCAAGTATGTGGGTGACGGCAAAAAAATGGAAAATTACATCACTTTACTTCAATGCAGCCTTTAAAACCGGGACAAGACAATACTTATGATATTACGATACCCAAACTCTGAGACGGTATCCAAACTCAAACCAAGATATCGATATAATATTGATCTATTGCCCAGCTGTAGTTATGCTATAGAGTATAACTATATTCAGGATGCACAATATTGGATTTTTTATTTTTATTTTTCCAATATCCGATACGCCGATATGAAACAAATCATTTGAATGATAACCAATATCGATACGTCTACTTTTTCCCCACCTAATTTTAGTGATCATCAAGTCTCTTCTGTAGTGGAATTATTATCATATTAAACATACATACTCTTAGCATGACGGCCCACCAGCAGATGGAGACATGAAATACAATACTTTTCAGTGTATGTAATATTTAATCATTGTGTAAAATAAGAAAAAGCATTTTGGCCGATTCTGACATTTAATCTTAAAGCCAATATTGGCTGATACCGATGACTTGCCGATATTATTGTGCATCTCTTCAGTATGAGATTACTCTCTGTTGTTTTATTATACAGAAAATAATATAAAAAGAACACTGAATTATATGAAACCTCTTATTTAAGTCTTAACTCAAGGGCTCCGTCCTAGGGAAAGGAACGTTAGAAGAGTCTTTAAGGAGTTTGGACATCCCTTTATAACAACCTGGGATGTATTTAAAGTACCATTTGTAAAAGATTGCTAGGCATGTCCCTTTCAGCAAATCTCATGCTCAGCTGTGATTTGAATGAAGTACATGAGAGACACAAACTGGGACAAAAAAAGTTGACATGCTGCTTATAATGATTCTTTTAAAGTGTTGTCTTAGATCTCACAGGCCTCTGTAAATGCTGCATTAACTTGCTTTATGTCTAAAGTCTCCCCACTAAATGTAATAACATGTTCACTCAGCACAAAATATTAAACTGTTTAACTCCATGTCAGATTTCACCTACCTGCACATTCTGAGCGGGTGATGGACTGAATCTGTAGAGTGTTCTGGGTTTTCAACAGGCTGTGAAGAGTTCTCACTATACCTGCAAACACAGAGGTCACCTTGCAGTAAGCGTGCACGGAGAGTATTTAACATTAACAGTTTGGAGAGGACATGAAAAAGCACCAGTCTTACCGATCCTCCCATTCTGCTTGCAGAGCACCTTTTTATCCAGCAGTTTGTGTGCACTCAGGTCTTTGTTCCACTCTTCCTCGGCTTCCATGTTCCGCCTCCTGCTGACAGAGGCACAAAAACCCGGCTCAGGCGGCCCGTCATCTTTGGCAAGCCGAGCAACACTTCAGCTCCATCGGACAGACATCACTTCAGCAGCTCGCGGCGGGGACTGACACTGCTGCTAGCATCAGTTAGCCGCTAACGGGCAGGCTAACTCAGCCAACCAGCCCCGCTAGCTCACTGAGTGTGAGTCATGTTGTGGGGCTGGTGGAGGCGCTAACCGTCGGTTGTTTCTGCCCCGAGGGGAGAAGTAATGCAGCGGCGAACAACAGCATCCACACAGGAGGACGGAGCTAACATGACGACTGAAGTGGTTATCCGTTAAAATAAATGTTAGCGAGCTAACGTTAACTAACCGCCGCTGGTTAGCATCCCCGCCCGCTGTCCGCTGCTCCTCTGCGGGTCCCGCGGCTCTCTGCGCGCAAACACCGACTACCGCCGCATCTCGGGATCCGTCGAGCCGCTACACATTACCGGCTAACGTCCGGGACAAACACCGCAAATGTGACAGTTTATGCGGAGCTCCGGTGGCTAACTGGCCGGTTACCAAACAGTTCCATCACCACCGTGAGCGCGAGCACGACCCCCTGCCGCGCGGACTCCTATGAGGGGCTGCTGCTTCTTCTTCGTTGGTGTTTATTGGCGATGGGCAAACAACGTTATGGCGCAATACCGCCACCAACCGGTGTGGAGTCTGGACAGGAACAGGTCTGTTTACACATTAATTAAATACATTTGGGGAAAAACACAAAACTCAAATATCTTCTCAATAATATTAATATATTTTAGGTAATGAAATATCATTATTAAATGATATATATGTTGGTGGTTTGAGCTGAAGGTGTGAGAAAGAATAGTATCAGTAACATTGTTAACACTGTGCTACATTACAGAGAAATACAAACCGTACTAATGAACCTTCATTAATATAGGCCTATATTTTATCTCCAAGTGCACGTCACACACTGAGCGAGCCGCCTGTTAATGACGCTGTGGGCTAATGGGCATGTAGCTACTTCCATGTTTCAAATGATACGTCATGTTTGTAGTCGACCAATGAAGATGAGTTTACGTATCACCTTGGGTTCAATCGATAAGATTCATTTTTTTAAATCATATTCATAAGGACAATGCACATTAATCAACAGTTCTGTAAATGTGCCAGTGTTAGCCAGCTGGCTAATTTTCAACTGCAGTCCTTTGGCAAGATGTTTTGAAACAATTCAAGGATAAAATTCACAGGACAAAGACAGCATTAACTACAGCAATTAGATATTGTCACGGTAGAACAGAAGGCATGCAAAGCAACAAGCAACAGCAGAGCATCAGTACAATATAATAACACAACAACAAGCAATGAAGCACCAACACGCAGTGAAGATTACATTACATTCAGACATGCAGAGCAGCAACAGAGAGTAAACATAGATAAAACATCCCCTGAGCTCCTCTGTAAAATATCTGTTAAATCAAACTGTTCTTTAATCTTTAAAAGGTTTGGGATCATCAAAAGGTGTGGCGATCATTAGCGTAAGAAAAAATGAAAAGGCAAAGCCGTCATGCACATACTGTATTCTCTTATTGTGTATTATTTATTGACATTGTTTGTTAGCCAAGCTGTTTGTATGTGCTTACCCTAAATTTTGCTTATATCACTGAAATCAACAGGCCTATATTTGGGACAGGCCTTTAATTCCCAATGAAATACAATCAAATTTTTTATTTAAACCAGTATGAATATTACTTGTTTAGAAATTTCTTCTGATAATATAACAATTACGAATCATTCATTTGATCTAGCTCTGACAGAGATTGAGTTACAGCATTTAAGGGTTATGGCACACAGACACAACACCACTTTATCTTGTTAAAACAATTCTCACAACTTGGATTAATTTTTATGAAAAACCCTTTTGATTCTTTTGATCTGAGGACTCTGACGGACTAAATGAATACGAATAATTTACAGGGTAATCGAGTAATGGACACGTAATTTGAGGCAGCCAATAACCCAGATTTATACATCCAAAGAACTCCTATTAAACCAGACCAGGCCTCAAATAGAGACAGGTGTGGATTTGTCGAAATGTGTAGCCACACCAGGCTAGTAAAAGTGACTGGCCGTTCAATTGGGACTAAATAAATACAATAGTAATAAATAATAAAAATAATAATAGTACTGGGGGTCCTGGCACTAGTGGACACACATGTTTACAAATGAATTATAAGCACTTAAATCTTTACAATAATGACCGTCAGTTCAGAACATTCATTTAAATCAAATAAATCTTGCATTATTTATTATTTTCCTTTTCCCCTTTAAAATTAGTTTTGCTTTAAATCAGCTGAACAGTTTCAGTTTGTGTTTGAGCTTCCTGGTTAAACAAAGACTCATTTGACTCAAAGAATCATTTGACTGATAATAAATCACACATTCATGTTAAGAAAGCTGTAAAACATGAACAATATTCACACCATCAGAGTCTTTAATGCACTCACCCTGTGCGTGTGTGTGTGTTGTGGTCGTCCAGCTGTTTCCCAGTGTGTCAGCAGAGAGACTGAAGCAGCAGCTCGCTCTGAAATCAACAATTATCTGGGAGCTGATCTGGAGCCTGTTTTTTCCTCTTCTTCTTCTTGTGTTTAATTGGATGGCCGGGGCCTCTCTCCGGGTATCCTGGTAACCCACCGACCTGCTGATGTCACTGCTCTCCATAATGAAGTGTGAGTGTATCTAGCTGCCTTTGTCAATAACCAGGCAGGGAAATTCACAGGAGATAAGACCGACAGTGAAGGCCATGTCTGCCTGGTCAGGACACACTCGGCTCCCACACGGTTATTATAACAGATTATTACCTCAGATTATTTTATTTTCATTATGTGTTCTTAGTTTTAATCTCATTTACATTCAGTCTCCCTTGAGACAAACCAAACAGCACAATTAAAGGACCATGATGGTGATTTTTAAAATAAGATTTACCACAAATTATTATTAATACTTATTAATACATTACTTTTAGCTGACCAAAATGTGTACATCATCCGTCCCCCCAGGCCTTTTGGTTTCCATTCACCTCCCTCACTATGAAACCAAGTACCTTAATGTTTTACCTTAAAATTCCAGAAATGTATCTATTAAAAAATGATGCAGTTAAGGTACTTTTAAGGTGGTGTAAGGTGATAATAAATTAAGGATTAAAATAAAGGTGCAAATTGTTCTGATCACCAATAGGATGAATTAAGTTAAGGGGGCTTTTAGTGGATTACTTCCATGTTTAAGAGTTTTTATGCCTCCATGCCAGCGATAGCCGTGGCTAGAGGCATTATGTGTCCCATTCTCCTGAAAGTGATAGCTCATGAACACCGTGAGGGAACTGACCATTCACTAAGCCCCGCCCCTTTGTGATGGTCCGACAGGCTGTCAGAGTAAGCATGGAGCCCACACTGTCACTAACTGCACTCCCTGAAGAATCATATTTTTGGAAAAAGGAAGCAGTGATGTCAGAGAGAAGCAGACAGAAGGATATATCCAGGATGTCAAACTGACTCAGCAGCAACAACAGGTTAAAAAGACAAAGATAGTTAGAAGCTAAAGCCGAACTATAGGCTACAGATCACAGTGTAAAAGTGAACCACCACATCACTGCTGATCGCCACACAAGACAATGAATATAAAGGGAAACTTCACTGATACTGAACCAGCTGTGTGGCATCACAGTGTGTGCAGATGAACGGTGTTTGACCTCTGCATCTGCACACACTGTGATGCCACACACTGTGACGACACACACTGTGATGCCACACACTGTGA